AGCAAACACAAGCCATTAATTAATACGGTAATCTACCAAGCAAAGAAATGAACAAAGACGAAGACGAAGAAAGAGAAAGGAAGAGCGAATTAAAGTGAGGGATTACGTATAACCAGGATCGCGTCTTTAAAATTTCGTGGGATGCGATCACAAGAGTGCAAATGAATCAACGGCCTTCTGCGTAAGTTTTCTTAGGGATCGTAAATAACAGTTAAAATATGTAGTAAAAACTCGTCAAAAGTTCATGAAGGTGTCAAAAGATGTCAGCTTACCTATCGTAGCATCCGTTTTGTGAAAAATATCTTCAACGCTTGGATCTCTTGAAACATCTATAGCTCTGTTGTCTGATCCCAACTTCTGATTCTCTAATAATCGAGTACGTTCATCCAGATCTGAAAAGAACGAGAGATGGAGCTCAAGTCATTCATGAAAGTTTGAATTTTCAGTAAAAGTCAAGACATTCACTACAGTATCCACGAGAGAATTTGATCCAGATAATGGAGGAAACAAAGGAATAATGCGAAGAACAGAAATGAGTGGTGCAAAAGTGTTTTAATGTGCGAGTTTATATAAATTCAAAATGAGTAACAGATGAAAAATGTTCACTGGTCTGCCATAGTGGGCTATGTGATATCGAAAGAAATTTAAGAAGTTTTGTTGTAGCTGGCAAACCATTTTTAGGGCATCTAGCATAATCTTTTGAATAGGAGCTCAGCTCTGAAATAAGTTGAAGAGTAACGAAATGCCCTTTCCTTAGTATTCCGCCGGGCACGGTTCCAGAAAAAAAAGCTATACACAAGAATGCTTCAATATAAGCAAAAACGAGTCCTAGGCAGAAATCGAACCGGTAGTCCACTCTGGGGTTCCTACACCCACAGACCTAGGCGTGGATGACATATTCCTGTTCAGGGCCATTTCCTTGTACCGCAGCAGCACAAAATGTGGAAGCACTAGACACCACACTAAGCATTGCAGCCTTTTCCTGAATATTTGCTTCTTCTTTACAATATTATACCTGCACGATTAATGTTCGCAAAGATAGAAGATGGCAATAATGGTGGCTTAGGGCAAGAATCTCAGCGTCCCACCAATTGAAAAATAAACGGAAATCAAGCCGTAGGAAAAAAAAACGATTTGTATGACGCATAAATGTAAATATTACTTATTATTTGTTCATCATCCTCCGATGAACTGCCGCTACCGAGCGCATACCGCAAGCGACTCACAGGAATTTTAACAACGGTCAGGGCGACGAAATCCTGATCACTCACAAGATTGTTGACACGTTTGATATCCGATACCTAAAAAAGCTGGATAAACTTTACAATTTTTCTCACTGTACCTCTGATATCCACCAGCTGTATCCTACGACGCGATCACACTTTGTAATCGCCTTGCATTTCGAGTGTAGAGTAGATACGTATCGATCATGTCTCAAATCGTATCTACTCCACACTCGAACAAAGGACAGTCGCGAAGTCTCACCACGGCTTTCGTTTGTTCTTCTACCTATGATAAAGCAAGAAAATTAGCTTGAATTTGCGCGTGTTCTTTACCATAATACTGTTTTATCTCCGCAAAGTAACTATAGCTTCTAAAGGTTTTCTAAAGGTCACAAGACCAAACAACTGCCTGAATACTCCGATAACCGTAAGGGGGGGGGGGCGGTGCTATGTGGGGTTGGGTGGGGGGTGGGGAGACGCACGCAGTGCCGCCGGGCACTCTGCTCACTCTGGCATGTTGGCGAACCTCGTGGGGGGGGGCACCCGAATGGCGTCGTCTTTCCTCCAAGGCTTAGTCCCACAGAGACAAGTTATTCTTTCGCCATTAGGCCGATGTCATAGTTTGCGAATCGAGCGATTCGCTAGCGAATCGCTGATCCGAGCGTTGCGCCAGCGAATCGAACGTTGCACCAGCGAATCGAACTTTGCGCCAGCGAATCGAACGTTGCACCAGCGAATCGAACTTTGCGCCAGCGAGTCGAACGATGTACCAGCGAGTCGAACTAGGTACCAGCGACTCAATAGTGGCGGGACCCAACGTTTAAAGGAAGCCCGCCACTTTCAAACAGTGTCACGTGACAGTGGACGCTGTTTGAAAGTGGCGGGACTTTGCAGTGGACACTGTTTGAAAGTGGCGGCTTCCTTTAAACGTTGGGTCCCGCCACTATTGAGTCGCTGGTACCTAGTTCGACTCGCTGGTACATCGTTCGACTCGCTGGCGCAAAGTTCGATTCGCTGGTGCAACGTTCGATTCGCAAACTATAACGATCGAGTTTACACTACCTCGCTCGAGGGAACGCCAGGCGAGCAGAGTGCCGCGCCGCCGCGTGGTGCCCCCAAACCCATTTGGCAACACCGAACCTTACTACATCTCAATAAAAAACCGAGGCTTACTTGGAACAAAGACGAGTTTGAGTCAAAGCTTACTAAACATACCCAAGTTCAAAAAACCCGCCGCAACAATACAAAATAATGAAAAGAAATTAGAAAATATATGCACAGACTCACATTCACAGAGTATTGTATTGCGATCTTGTTTAACGTATCTCCAGCTTTGACTTTTCTTTCTATGATGACCGCATCCTTGTTAAATGGTGAAGCTTTGCGCCGTTCCTGATCCGAAGGCGTTCGTCCAACCCTGGAACGCATGGCGAACTCTGAGCGGCTTTCACCAGACATCTCCCAGAGGTTGGTGGGCTTTCTTCCGCTGAAATATTACACATTGATCTCCCACTTTCTGTACATCAAACAAAGTCGAGGACAACAATAAGCACAACTCATATCACACAACGCAATCGGGCATGAATCGCATTCTCGACGGAGAGTACAACGTCACGTACGTAACTGTCTCTGAGTCTCTCACATATGCACGCTCTCTCTACAAGTTGCCTGAATTTCAAGGTATGTGTTTTCTCCACACGGAACTTTGCGGACAAAGGAAATTCCTTCTACAGCTGTGCACTCCGCATTTCTTACATTCCAACTTCGTTATTTTGTTCATATATCAAGTAGCTACATACAAACCACCTAGCTAGAACGTCCAACTTGATAGCCCACTAAGCGGTATGAAGCGTTCAGGGAGGACTAGTTTCTGGTATTTCATCATAGTAATGCTTAGTTTAGTTCAGGGCCAATCGTTGAGTGGGATAGGGACTTGGGGGTGCATAAAGGGGCTCTCCCGATCGTTACGATCGGGCGATTGAATATGAAAGCGCCCTAAGCATCTGAAATGCAAAATTTTGAAAGAAAAATGGGAATGAAGCTTCATTGTTTGTCCAAACTTGGCCCTCAGGGGTAAGTTCTGTCGTCCTGATGATGGGGTCTTTTCCAGTTAGGGGTGGGCGCACGCATAGTCGGTCGGACGACAGCAGCGATCGTAACTGTCGCAATGTATGCGTATCTGATTCAATCCTCTGGGGGGGGGGACAAAAAAGGGTTGCGTCATAGGACCTAGCATACCTCTGTGTTTCTACCTGCCAGACAGTTAGAGCAGCGCGACCCCTCAGGGGAAAGAGTGCTTCATCAGTGGAGGGTAGTAGCGCTGCTCTAACTGTCTGGCAGGTAGAAACACAGAGGTATGCTAGGTCCTATGACGCAACCCTTTTTTGTCCCCCAGAGGATTGAATCAGAGGAGGAATCAGAATCAGAGGATATTCCTTTGGGGGAAGGATTGAATACCGCCCCAGGAGGAGTGTAGGCAGTCCAGGGAGGGGGGGGGGGGGGGTGAGGGCAGTCACTTGACATGCGTGAAAAGCTGGAATGTTCGAGTTTACACTAGCTTCGCCGAGAAACTGCATCATGATGCCCCCTAACTGGAATAGACCCTGATTATGAATAAAAAGTTCATTTTTGGTGTTGGGCCACTTGGCGCCTACTTTCTCCTCCTTAAGCACTCATCCGGGCGTGGTTTAGCCACCTTGGAATCGTTTCGGAAGTTTATCCTAAGGCACTAAGGGAGTTATCTCAGGGGCCGTATGCTGAATGTTGGGTAGGGGACGGGGATGGGTGAACGTTGGGGAGGTTCGTCGCAGGACCCACTGGGCAACGGTCGCACCTTTGATTTTGCAGCTTTGTTTCCATCCTTTTACTGTTTCTGATTGTATATTCGCACGTAAATACCTTTCTTTACACCAAAAGCAGCGATGAAAGAATGGAAACAAAGCTGCAAAATCAAAGGTGCGGCCGTTGCCCAGTGGGTCCTGCGACGAACCTCCCCAACATTTACCCATCCCCGTCCCCTCCCCAACATTCAGCATACGGCCCCAGGAAAGCAGGAAATATGCGTTATACAGCACTAATGACAAAACCCAGCGTGCTGTCCGTCGTCTGGGTACCGAAAAACTCAGACAGGAGTTCAACCAACCTTGAAAACAGCTGTCGTGACGGGAAAAAATTGAGACTTTGGGGTAAAATAGTTGATTGGTGCCAAATTTTTCTACGGTTCGGGCCTTAACTGGTCAGTCTCGAACTTATTCGGCTTACTGCATGTATCAAACAAAACTTATTGTTAGTTCTAATGGCTTCGATCTTCGTTGCTGTGGTTTTTTGTAATGCCCGAGTAGCCGAGTGTACATCCTCCATTTACCGATCGATACGTGAACATGCGGTGTTTATTTCTCGCCTGGGCTCCCATCTTCCTCCAACAGAAATTTTTCATGTGCCTTTTCTTCTTTATGCGGACATACTTGATAGCATTCCTTTTTTGAGGGATTTACAGTCAACATAAGATTACTTATTTATTTATTTTTATTTATTGCACATAGGTGCGCCATTAACACTGGTGCGAGGTTAGTAATATAAAACCATACAACGACAAAGAAAGGGAGAAAAAACATTGAAAAAAACTCATAGAGTTAACAGAAGAGTCTGAAAGCACTCGTCTTTTTTATTCAATGATATTACGACAAAACTAGGGCGTTTTTTGAAATCACTCAGTCGATGCAAAATTTGGCGACTAGGGTGAGAGTAATCCCAATCATATCATGCATTTATCGGCGATTCTTTTCACTTGGCCATTGATAT